GTAATGAGGGGTAGGGTTATAACAAAGGAACAACTGTAATGAGGGGGAGACAACTGTAATGAGGGGTAGGGTTATAACAAAGGAATAACTATAATGAGGGAGAGACAACTGTACAATGATGGGGAGACAACTGTAATGAGGGGTAGGGTTATAACAAAGGAACAACTGTAATGAGAGGGAGACAACTGTAATGAGGGGTAGTGTTATAACAAAGGAATAACTATAATGAGGGAGAGACAACTGTACAATGATGGGGAGACAACTGTAATGAGGGGAAGGGTTATAACAAAGGAATAACTATAATGAGGGAGAGACAACTGTACAATGATGGGGAGACAACTGTAATGAGGGAAAGACAACTGTAATGAGGGGGAGACAACTGTAATGAGGGAGAGACAACTGTAATGAGGGAAAGACAACTGTACAATGATGGGGGGACAACCGTAATGAGGGGTAGGGTTATAACAAAGGAACAACTGTAATGAGGGGGAGACAACTGTAATGAGGGGTAGGGTTAAAACAAAGGAATAACTATAATGAGGGGGAGACAACTGTACAATGATGGGGAGACAACTGTAATGAGGGGGAGACAACTGTACAATGAGGGAGAGACAACTGTAATGAGGGGAAGACAACTGTAATGAGGGGGAGACAACTGTAATGAGGGGAAGACAACTGTAATGAGGGGGAGACAACTGTACAATGAGGGGGAGACAACTGTAATGAGGGGGAGACAACTGTAATGAGTGGGGGGCAAATGTAATGAGGGGGAGACAACTGGAATGAGGGAGAGACAACTGTAGTGGGGGGGGGGTAACTGAAATGGGGGGGAGACAACTGTAATGAGGGGAAGACAACTGTAATGAGGGGGAGTCAACTGTACAATGAGGGGGAGACAACTGTAAGGAGGGGGAGACAACTGTAATGAGGGGGAGACAACTGTAATGAGGGAGAGACAACTGCAATGGGGGGGGGGGGTAACTGTAATGAGGGAGAGACAACTGTAATGAGGGGAGACACATAAAGACACACAAAACAACTCTAATACAGGGAAACAACTCTCTTAATGAGAGACAACTGTAATGTGGAGAAACAACTGTAAAATGGGGAGACTTGAAATGATAGAAAACAATGGTAATGCAGAAAGACAACTCTCTTCAAGAGATACAACTGTAATGAGGGGAGCTAACTAATTATAGCATGGGGGGTGCAATGTTATCCATGAAGTTCACTATATTATAATAAGGGGAGAAAACTATAATGGGAAGACAACTCTCATCAAAAGAGAAGACTGTAACGAGTCAGAAAAAGGTGTAAAAGAGGCAATAACAAGGATTGTTGATTTCAAAGAGGATATTCATACAAAAGATAAGAAATATATAGCTTGTTTTATACATTTCAGGGCGTCCATTGAGCATATTGGGAGAGTAAAACAAATACTGGTCTTACTTAATATATTTCCCTATTCCACCCTATAGGCAGGACTATGAGGTCATGTAATGAAATAAACTTCATTATGAACATGGTCTTATTTAAGGTAAAATAAGTGATAAAATGTATATATTTCATAAAATCTCCCCTGTATTTCTTACACTACAGTGTATCAGATAAAATATCCTACACAACATAAATATATAATCTCAACAAAAAATATCACACCAGTGTATCTGCTCTACAGTTAGTAACCATGGCAACCAGATACATTTTTTCTATGTATAGAATACATTTATGATATCTATAGATTTCCTTCCATCCCTGAAAATATGAACATACACCTAATTATGGCAGGGTGTAAGTTCTGGTCAACTGTCAATTCCGATATTAGTTTTTATCAAAATATATATATCTCGCTTCAGGTTATAAGGTTTTTGGGGTGAGAATCCATCGGCTCAATGATAAAAGGTTTACTGGGGTGTGAACTAACACATCCAATAACAGGACATGTTATAGGCATCAATAGCCTTGGCCTGAAATGAATGCTCCAAATAATTGACTGTGATCACGTATTTAAGGATACATTCTGTATGCTACCTAACTGTTCCATGTATCGACTCAAGAGTGTGTTGCTAGGAAATCTGTAAAATTATTCTATGAATGATGATTTGGACAATATGTCTCCCTTTATTCGAAGGGGAGACATAACTATTGTGCAGCGAGATCTAACATATGATGTCCTGATACCTGTAGTTGAACCCATGTCTACCAACACCCTGGTTCAAATGATATCAAGCACTTAGGACTTAATGGCTACCTAGGACTTAAAGACAATAACTCTTGTTTATGAAATTAAGATAGGGCTTCTTGTATACACAGAGATGAATGCGTCATTCAAATTTGACTACTATGGCATAAAGACCAGATTACTTATATATGTCATTAAAACGGAAATTCATATTAAATGAGTTAAAACCAAAATATTAATGGGGTAATTTCCCTTTTAAGCTTTAACTAAGCATCTTGATATGACCTGGAACATCTTGCAGTGTACCACAGAATTAACATATACAGAGCAGGGTTTAGCCTTCACAAGATAAATCGTGAACCTCTGACATTACATTATTTAGATGAATAGAACCATTTACACTAGAATCATGCCCTAGTCCATATATTTCTGTTTCAACTGAAACTTTCAGAAATTGATGAGCTTAAAAATACTCCAAAGGAGTTCTGGAACATGGATGTACATTTGTAGGCTGTTGTCGTAAGATGTTATCTGTAGAGAGGATATAAAGCATCAAGACACATAACCATATATAAACAGTAATTAATAAAAAAAAAATCTGTATTGCTGAAATAGGAAAAGGTTACCACCCAGATAGAACAGTGTGAACAGATACAAAAAAAAATAAGGTCTGAGTCGGGACAATATTCTTTGATAATAGAGTTGACCTGATGAAAATTTCCAAGCTGGCAAAACAAATTTGGATAATCAAGAAACCAGGGTTGCTTTCTTGGATTTCAAATTACTTCGTAGTACCCCAAAAAAAGATGAACATTTTGTCAAGGCCAGGGATGGTCATCTGCATCCATTTTTTTCATGTATCCCATTCGAAAATGAGAATATTTTGCAAATGTATAAGCCCTATAGCCCTAATGCCCTGATTTGAACCTGTCCCTCTACTATCTGTTGGGCCTGGCACATTTTTTTTAGCATTAACTCATTCACCTCTGAAGACACCTTTGAACTCTTCCAATTCAAAGGTTGGAATAGTTCATTATGAAATTTCAGGGACGAATGTTACTAATTCAATGCATATTTGACAAGCTGCATTTGAGGAGGAGTTTTTTTTATCCAGTTTCTTTGTCCCAATAAAGAAGTGACACTGACACACCCTTGAATACAAAAACTTATTTTTTGTTTGGCCAAGTGATGCTTAAATTATTTTTCTTCAATAAAATATTGTTATATTCTTTACTATCACCATCCCTATTGTAATTGTCTGAATCGAACATGGATAGAATTTTAAACCAATTTATTTTATATTTTAGTGCGCATGGTGATCTGTTTATTGAAATCAAGCTATGCATATGTTTGTATCTGATTAAATGAAAACATTGCGTACCTATTGAAAGATGGGTAGCAGGCTAAAAACTGGTCTCACAGAGCTCTATATCAGAAATTGAACACCCTATGTTTCACTGGTACAGAATTGAGAGTCAGAAGATTAAGAATGACTTTTACTAACTCCAGTCATCATGACTGGTAATAGACCCTTTCACTTTATTTTGTAGCTGGCAAACCACCAAAGTGTCAATGTAAAGGATGTAGTATTAGAAAAGGACCTCAAATGTGTTGTGGCAGCAGTAATGTCAACTTTCACACTTGGGATTTCGCTAACCAACAAGCCTCACAGTTATGTGAAAAAGTCCATTGGTACAAAATCAAAGAGTGCATCATTTTGTTTTTGAATTTTTCTTTCAAGCTGGCATTGTGCCATGAAGGTAATTCTAGAAAACATTGATCTCAACATTATGATACCACCTACCTTTTAACTTTTTTGCAGATGTTACCAGAATGGCACACAAACAGAGGACGGCCGCGACACATAACACATCACACTGTCTCAACTTCATTGTGTAAATCAGCTGGTCTGGAATGACTTGAGTGATAAAAAGTCCTGAAGGATCCGGAAGTAGTGATTCCAATAAACTATCCAACAATTCCGAAAAGTTTCATTCTGGATGCAAGTTCCCCAGCATACACAACATATTTTGTCTCAGTTGGCCGTCAGCTTCTAAATTCCAGATAATCTGCAAGATATAATTATTTACATACGGTAAAGCAATTATTGATTTTCATCAAAATAAGAAAACTAAGACTTGAATAACAAAATAAATTGTAGAATCAGATTTGTCAGCATGTACTTTAGAAGTCTCTGTAGGCTAAAAGCAACATAACAAGAAAATGATTGTTTAGATCACTTTTGGGATGTAATTTGCGGAAAATCCATAAAACTTAAAATCTAGGATTACAAAATGAGTTACGGCGGTACAATTGCTTATGTCTGTTGGTATGTAATTTTCTTTGAGATTTACAGAACATAAACTAGCAATTAATAGCAATCAAGTCAACTCAAAAGTGGTTCCGTAAATGTTACTAGGAAATGCATAGAAAAAGCACAATTTGTCCTAGCTTTACTGCAATAAACTAAATTGTAAATTTCATGTTCCCAATTCCTCTCAGTATAAAGAATTCAGTCAATCAATTCCTATGAAGACTACTTATTTTTATATTAATATTTGATGAAAAGGTCAACAAGGCCTGTAGACAAAGATCAACCTTTTGTCAAGTATCTTGCTGTGGCAAACAATTAAATTACCATAGACTTCCAGGTCACTAGCCACTGACAGAATTTAAGCTAATCAATAAAACACATATACATCAGGAATTAGTAAAGTAATCGTAATCTCTTATTGGCTAAAAAAATGTTTTTAAGGATCCCTGTACCACTGCCAAAAACTGTAACAAAGTGTTGGAAACTGTTTTGTTTGTGTCTTTTGTTGTTGTTGTTGTATGACTATAGCATTGATCAATCATTACTAGAAAGAAAACCATAACTTGCAGGATTTATTTGAGAAATAATAAAGATAAAATTAATGAAATATAACCAACATCAATGTTCCGAGTCCAAAAATATCAGTGGGTTAGACTGAGATTCTAACCCTGGTTTTTGGTTTGTTATACTAACAAATTCAGCTACCTGGTCAAAAGAAGTGTCCTAGCCCACCTTTGCTCTATTCCGTCTTTGCGTATTGCAGAGTTATCATCTCTTGAGAGCAGGTATTGATGTTACGTCATTGGTTTGTGTGTGAAAATTACGTCGTTTTCTCAAAAAATGATGACGTTACTCTCAAAAACAAATGACGTAACAATCAATACCTGTTCTCAAGAGAAGATAACTCTGCAATACGCAAAGACGGAATATATATCCAAATGGAAGTTAAGGGGAGGTTACTATGTATAGGAAATATGACAGTGCAATGGGACAGGGATCCTGAAGTAAAGCCAAGCATTGCTTGTTTATAGATAGTTGACATCTACTGTGATATAGACTGTTATAAGCTCAGTGTTCCCATTTAGCCTTTTTCATTTTTTTAGTTTATGCTGCTCTCTCATCCTAAAGAAAAAACTATGTTGTAAATCTTATGACATGAAAACTAGGAAATCACAGTGTGGGGTTCCCACTAGAACATCACAAGTAAATACTGTTTGTCACACTGCGAGTGAACCGACCCTCCCCATCACAATTCATACAAATTGTACCCTTAAAATCAATGCTGTACCTTTGTTTTGGTACAGAGCCTATTTTTCATTATTTATCTGCCTGCAGGCTTTTTGACACGGTTGCTATGTGAAGCATAAATGACGGTATAAATCATACAGCCTGGTTTTGTGTCCTCCTGCTGACAACATGTACTTCACTCGGGAGCTAACATCTTCTGTCAAGTTTCAATACAGTACATTTTAACAAATTACAATGGAATAAGAACAATTTTCATAACATAATATGACCCACTTCTAGAAAGTAAACTTCAATCACAATAGTGGCGAAGAGTGTTTTTTTGCCAAAAATAAGCTGTTTTGAAACACTATATTTCAATTAACTCTTTATGACCTTGACCTGTGCAAAACATTTGATGTTGATCTTTTCATACAACTTTTGAACTTTGACAGATATAGATCCCTCAATATGCTAAATGCATATGTAAGGTAAATCAGTCGCTATGGCCTTGTTTTCCGACACACGACTGATCTCTCGCCATAATTATGACTCAACACATGGTTGACCTTTTCCCATGACCTTGACCTTATACACAAGGCTGACATCTTCATGCATTTGACCTCAGTCATGGTATTCATTTTTGAATACAGCTTTAATCAATAGCATATACATGTGAGGTTGACAATTGAAGACACAATGACCTTGACCTTTGACACGTAAGGTTAACCTACATTTCAAAAAGCCAATTGATATCCAGTGAAGTAGGGTCTCTGGCCTGAAGCAGCTAATTCCACTTGTTCCATACCTGAACCCATGTTCTAGGCCTATCACTGTATCCAAGTGCTGTAGGACATGAACCGACTGAGAAGGATTCTTTGAGAGGTTATTTATCCAAACAGTTATGAATTAATATAAAGTTCTAGAAGGAAAGAGAAATGATAAGAATATTCAACTGAATTAATAGAAAGTATTTCCATGCTGTTTAAATCAAATTATGTAGTTTGATTCAAATTAGAATAAACAAATTTCCTTCAATGCATCAATGCCTAATATTGTTGCATGTCAATTAACTTTTGAAGCCCTTTCAACTTTTCAAATCAAATTTGGTATACATACAATTTATATACAGGATCAACAGTCTAGTATAAGACGCCAAGATCAGAGTGTGATAGCAGAATGTACAGATCAATTCTGACAACATCTCCTTGGTAAACAGTATCCCTCATAGATCCTTGTCAATAGTGTTGGAATAAAACTTCTCAATCTGGTGTCTGAAATAGGAGGAACACACCAGACTGACTGCTGTACACACCCTTATATCAAATGTTGTTATACAACTTGTGTTACACAGGTGTCCTGTTGTCAGTGACGAGGTACAACAATGCTGTCTGAACATAGCTCTGAAAAGCAGAAAGAAAATCTAGAATCCTCCGAACCCTTCCATCCTTCGTGTATTGATTATACGTAACCCAGTATTGATTATACGTAACCCAAGCTAGCTGCCTTCTTAAAGAGAATACAGATAAAATTAACATGTGAATTCGGAGCAAAATGTTAAAGAACTTTTTCCTAACATCCCGAATGTCAAAAACTTATCTTATTTCCTACGAATATCACAATAATTACCGTTACAGATGAAGCTGTTTGATTAAAATTTTAAATTTACTACGAGCTCAAGTTAAATGCAAAGCTGTGTCTTCATTATTCGAGCACGCACCTTTTGAATTTCGTTTCATTTAAGTGGTATTTAACGAAAGATCTGAACTTTCTTGATACCTGAAAATAACTCCATTGATTCGGATCTTTCCAATATAGTGTAACTGAAAAATATCTTATTGGTAGAGAAGTATAGAGTTAAATGATGATTGTGGTAATTGTAGTATCTGTTATGGTTTTCTACTCCATATACTGTAGCTGCAGGAAAATCCCCAATACACTTACCTGTTGAAATATTATAATATGCTTAAAATTTGTGTGTTTAATAAGCATGTTTATAGTTCTGTTTGGGGTTAACGTGTACATCCTCGTAACAGCCAGGGTCCATACCCTCATCAAGCATGGGCTATTAAAATATATCACTTTCGGGATGCGATTTCTTTGTCACAACCTCCAGATAGCGGCCAATTGAACCGTAAAATCAATTTTTAACTCGTGTGGACAAACAAAACTACTATTACTAAAAAGGCAAATTCTATTTTTCTGATTTCGTTAAGATTCAAGCTTACATTTATCGGAAGCTGTTCCAGTCTACCCAGTTACACAAATGAGTACTACCTACTGGTATGGAAATCATTATGCAAACAGACTGAGGGGACCATAGACTCCAAGTCACAACACTCTAAAGAAACAGTGTTCAGATAGCTCAGGCTATAATGGCCCGTATGCCGGAAAGACACGACATTATTGACGTGTAAACTGAGGGGCCGGAAAGAGATGACACTATTGACGTGTAAACTGAGGGTCCGGAATGACACGACATTATTGAAGTGTAAACTGAGGGCCTGAAAGACACGACATTATTGACGTGTAAACTGAGGACCTGAAAGACATGACATTATTGACGTATAAACTGAGGGGCCGGAAAGACACGACATTATTGACGTGTAAACTGAGGGCCTGAAAGACACGACATTATTGACGTATAAACTGAGGGGCCGGAAAGACACGACATTATTGACGTGTAAACTGAGGGGCCAGAAAGACACGACATTATTGACTAGTAGATTGACTTGTTTTCTTTGTCCCTGAGCAAATCAGATCTGTTACACCTAAAATCGTGTGGTCACCAACACAAAAACAGGACCAAAGTGCTGCTGTCTAAATCAATCTTAATCAATCTAAATCAATCACGAGTTTGGGGATAGACTCGACGAGCCTCATAACAACAATGTTCCCATAACAAGCCACAGTGATCACAGATTGTTTCTAGATTACTCCAATCACTCTAGAAACAGTTACTGACTTTTTTTCATTCCGCAGTGTCATGTAACTTTCATGCCAGATATTCCCCAAATTGTGTTTACCCTCTAATCAGCCGACCTTACTGCTTTGACCTTATTGTGGAGAGCTAGCTCTTTATCTGTTTTATCAAATGGTACATCTCGTTCCAAACAGAATTGGTGATATAAACAAAGAAATAAATTTGCTGTAATAAATTGAATTGGACATTATCATCATAGAGATAAAGAGTCAATATAGTTAAGAGGTCATCTTGATTTATTTTTAATTAAACAGGTTACGGGTTGAATTTTTTATTTTTTATTTCGGGGCTTGGGTGTTGAATGGGGTTTTTTTAATTGAGGAGGTTGGGGGGTTGAAGTTCTTTTTAGTTGTGGGGGTTGGGGGTTAAAGATTTTTTTAGTTGTAGGAGTTGGGGGTTGAAGGATTTTTTAGTTGTGGGGATTGGGGGTTAAATGTTTTTTAATTTAGGGGGTTGGTGGGGTTGAACGTTTATGTAGCGGTTGTGACCGTTCTCGTTGGAGTGGCTTGGACCTCTCCGACATGGTAATTATCTGTGGAGTCAAAGTA